TGCACATTGAAAATCGACGAACGACATCATCCTACCTTCCCTCTTTCCCCTTCCCTCTCTCTCTCAGGATCTTGGGGGGTTGTGTTCCGTGTGCACTAGCGATTAGGCAATTAGTGATATTTGCATGTAGGTGATATAATATTTAAGTAACACGAATTACTTGGCCGAGTAATCTGGTCGGATCTGGCCGGATTATCCGGGGATGCGATTATCCGAAAATTTGGATAGTAAAATAACAAAATTGAAAAAGTGTAAAAAAAAAAAACAAAGAAAAACATGATATTGCGTATATTAAATAAAACAAAATATGCTCCTAGTTCATAAAAAACTTGATTGATCATCAAAGGGTTCAAAGGGGGTATAGATAGTGAATTAGAGGGTTTAGAGGGGGTTTGCTCAATTTGTTTTATCTCAATATTCTTTAATTGTTTTATTTTATTTTTTAATTTTATTTTGATTGCGATATCAAAGATGATATCAAGCCAAAAGTTGTTCGTATTATTTATATCTACAACATATTTGTTTTTTATATGTTTTTTTTTTTTTTAATAGGGAAAAACCTTATTTTGTGTAGGGTTGGATTTGCTATATCTGAAATTAATCCAAATATTTTATACGGATTCAAAATTCCGGATAAAATAGGTGTGTCGGATATCCAGTTATGTTACATAGTGTAGTATGGACCCACTGGAGCATTACTTATGCAAAGCTTTAGAGTTGATTGCAGTCAGTACAAAAAGATGATTAAAAAAAGGGACTCTGGGCCCAATTCCCAACATTTGATGCTCCCCGCGACTTGATCAGAGCAATTCTTGTTAAATAAAAAAAAAAAAAACTAAGACGTTGTCACAGTTTCAGTAAAAAACGCGTTTCAGTCGATTTCGTGAATGTTGTGCCAAACTGAGGACAATCATGAATGTATAAAACCCAACAATTGTGAATGTATACAACCCAACTTTAGGTTTGGGGTGGAATGTGTTGTATTCGAGGGATGCTTGAAGTGGATTTAAAACTAAAATGGTGACTGCGCCCTACTTGCCTCATAAATAAATGTATCGTACCGTGTTTTAAGCCGAACCTAGGTGCATCTAACTGCAGTTACATCCATAACTAAGCAAAAAAGTCCTAGTGTGAGTACGCCCTTAGGGTAACAACCTTTTTTGTTTTGTTTTAGAAAATTAAATTTTTGACACCACCACTACCTTCAATCCTTTTTTTGTTGAACAAGAGTTCAATTGCTCGCCAACAAGAGGCTGAAGTGCCAACGCGACATTTTTGTTTTCTTTTGGTCGCGGCGACAACCTTTGTGGTCCGGTAGCGCCCAACCTTTACCTGCCTCTGAAGAATGTGGTGTATGTTACTTTTTACGACTTAGCCTTCCAGCGTGAAAGGTAGTGGTGGTTATATCTGTCGAATTTGATAGTGAGGCCTTTCGGGCGTTTTTATTATTATAGTATTACAGGGAATCCCATAGCTGCCAGCCCGAGTTGAGGCCTCCGACTCAAGAACATGCGCATAACATGTAGGGGCTGCACCCGACCTGCAGGTGGGCATTCAAGCCTCCATGAAGGGAAAACGCAGGGGATGCACCCTACCTGCAGGTGGGCAACACCGACCAGGGGTCAGCTGATAGCATCAGGACCAAACTTTTTCGATGGGTTAGTCACTGTGCCTCTCCTCCTGCCCCCTCCCCATATAAACATCAACAGTGTCGGCTCGATGATGCCGCTTGGTGGGACCAACGGGCTATCTCTAGGTGGCGGGTGCCAAGCATGCCCAGGGAGGTACACGGACCCAAAACCTCCTAAATGGCACTTGTGTGCCTTTTACAACTGAGTTAGGCTGCTGGATAGGCAAAATTTCCTACCTTTTTGCTCTTTGGCTTTCTTTTCTTCTTTTTTGAGATAAATTGCAATACACCCCCATAAGTTGAAATCTATGCCGAAATGCCCCTAAAAGATGTAGGTAGAGCTGGTGCCCTTTTGAGCCCAATTCATGGTGTTATGCCTGCTATCAGGACAGTGAGCGAATTTGCAATCTGGTGCTCATGGCTTGGGCCTGGGCATTTTGCAACCAGGCCTTGGAAAGCCGGTAGGGGTACACTGTAAAGATGGGAGTTCCAACTGACACCAGGGGTATGTCACTAACAATTTTTTGTCATAGGGGCACTCCACTGTATTCACCTCTTATAGGGGGCATTTTGGCATATTTCTCAACTTATTGGGGTACTTTGCAAACTATCCCTTCTTATTTTAATAAAGGTGACGACCTTTAGATGCCGGCATTGAACAGAGCTGCCTTACCCTAGGTAATTCAAAAGACTAGTATTTTACTCTTCTGTTTCCAGTAGAGTTCGAAGTCAGGCATGTATCTCAACAGTTTAGGGGTGTACCAACTGAGCTACCCGTCTTCCCCTGAATACAACGTACCGTCAATATAGTTGTATCTAGACTGAAAGATGCCTCAAATGTAGCTATAATGACCGTACGTTGCATTCGGGGAAGAAGGGTAGGTCAGTTGGTGTTAGGGGCTGATCCGACCACTACACTACGAATGTAGACGCAAAAAGTCACTACGAAGATGTCAGTGTCTGTGGCGGGGCAAAAAAGAGAAACTGGATCCCACGAGGCCGACTTCTCGGTGGTCTTCCTGGACCTGTGGCGGTTCTTTATGGGCTGTTATAGAGGACGAACGTTTTAACAGACTCCGCCAACCGACATGTCACACAACACTATGGTCCTCTGACATTCCTAATGCAAGCGAAAATAAAAAATAAAAAAATGATCCCTCTTTTTCGAGGCTGTGAAGCCCTCACGGTCTACATGAGAATTGTAGTAACTAAGTTTGCGCCCTTCGCAGAAGTGCTGCCATGACACAACCAAACGAAATTGAAGTAAAATATTTCGGCAGCCGCGACAACGTCAGAAAGTGGTGGGATATCAAAACTTCACTGTAATTGGGCTGTAGTGTAGTGGTGGGATCAGCCCTTTACTCTTCTTTTTCTGAAAGGTTGTAGTCCTTGACCTTGTCGTTTCCATCGACCGTGATTCGCACCATGATTCGCACCATGATTCACACCATGATTCAACTCCTGACCTGGTTCAGGCGCTGGGGCGGAAAAGCAAACTGGGACCCCACAAAGGCGGGTTCTGCGGGTCTTTCCCAAGTACCACGCCGGATTTTTTTGGGCTTCCACCGAGACGGACGTTCCTGTGGCCCGCCATATGGCCTGGCCTCCAGCGTCGTACCGGATGAACATCGGGTCTTTCCCAAGTACCACGCCGAATTTTCTTGGGCTTCCACCGAGACGAACGTTCCTGTGGCCCGCCATATGGCCTGGCCTCCAGCGTCATACAGTTCTCTGGTCCACGGATGAACATTGAAAAGGGCGACTCATTTTTGCGGCAGCTTTCTTGGTAGGGGTAGGAGTCCTCGACCTTTCCATTTTGTGTAGGGCCGTTGGGCCGTTCATCACGACCGACGTGCCATGTACACATGAACTGAAAACATACCCCTAACAAAGCGTGGCGCCCTGTAATTTCAGAAAGTGGTGGGATCCGCGTTTCTCAACTCAATTGGCTAACTTACGCAGCGTCGGATCAGAAGCTCATTCCCACATTTTTTATTTTTTTATTTTTTTAAAGCTATATTCTTCTCTCAATTGCACCTCACACTACCTACCTACCACTACTCCTAATTGTAGGCATACGGGGAACCCCGTAGCAGCCAGAACCGTGTTCACGAGAGAACATGCAGGGGCTGCTCCCGACCTACAGGTGGGCGATACCGGCTGGGGGACAGCTGGGTCAAGGTCCCACTTGCACAGATTAGGAGATTTTGGCCGTTGATGTCGGCTCTCTACGGTCTCTATCTCTTGATTTGCGCAAGTGGGACCTAGCCCCTGGTAGCATCAGGGACCATGCCAACAGGACCAATCCCTGTGCCTCCCCTCACGTCCCCTCCCCTACGAACATAGCAGACTCTGCTTCAATGGCTATCGGGGGATCCAGTGGTCTATCTCTAGGTGGCGGGCGCCAAGCATGCCCAGGAAGGTACATGAGGCCAATGGGGATTGAACCCACGACCTCCTGAATACCACTTGCGAGCCTTACCAACTGAGGGCACGCTCACACTGTGGTACCAGAACCGCATATTCTTAAAAAATACGGATGCCTGATTTGGGGATATAGTGGCGGCGCCAGTCACACTGTGTCCCCAAACCACCCATTCCACGGTCGCGGTAGGTCGGCCAGTGCGAAATTGCGGAGGTCACCCACCAGTCACACGGCGCCGACCCTTTTCCCTCAATTGCTTTTCTTTTTTTTTTTTTCTTCGTTGTTCAGGGACTCTCTTCTCGCGTCTGACGGGCCGACGAGGTCACCCATTTGCCCAAATTCCTCATTTTCAGTTGATATGGCGCCCATATCTTGCCATTCCATTCTCAAGTCATTTCTGAAAAAAAAAAAAAAAAAGAATAAGGAATTTGTGGTAACCTCCCGAGGTTACAGCAAATTCCCAACCCCCGCGGCCTCTCAGGCCGCTGACAAAAGGGTTCGGGAATAAGTGATTTGCGAATTGTGCACCCAGTGTGACTACCCCTCGACCCCATTTTTTGGGGATTTTGGGGAATATGCGGTTTTGGTACCGCAGAGTGAGCGTGCCCTGAGTTAGGCCGCTGGATCATTCCCATGTTTCCCAGTGCCTCTTTTTCTTGTTCTCATTTTTTTTGTGGGCGGGTGAAGCGGAGGTAGGCGAATCCGACTTCCCTCCAGGAAGTATGGGTCAACCTATGGGCCTCGCTGCACTACTCGCCAAACGTACGGAGTGGCGAACGCATCTTTTCTTGAAACTGGAAAATAAATCGTGACTATCGTAGAGCAGCGAGGCCACATGTCCCTCTATAAAACCCGGTCAGTTATAGTTCGTGCTATCGGCCGTCGCTGCGTTGCCAGCATCTCCCTAGCGGAAGGACATCGCCCGATCGCTTCACGGCGGAAGCGCGGAGCATCATCGTAGCACCTGCCGCGGGCGAGGATTTGATCATATTCCCGCTCGGTTTAGGAAGGAGCGCCGGCGATCGAGCGAAGCGGTGCCCGAACGGCCGATCTGTTCCGCGGGCTATTTGTTTTGGCGGGCCGAGTGTGGCCATTGTTGAGGCGAAGTATTTAGCTTTGTGCTAGGGTCGTCTTTGTCGACTTGTGCGTGTGCGTGGGCAAGGAAGCAAGCGAGCGACAATGTTGTCTTTCCTGTTCACGTCGGAGTCCGTTAATGAGGGTCATCCTGACAAACTATGCGATCAGGTGTCGGATGCGATCCTGGATGCGTGTCTTGAACAAGATCCCGACAGCAAGGTGGCCTGCGAGACATGCACGAAGACAGGCATGGTGATGGTCTTCGGCGAGATCACGACGAAGGCCAAGGTGGATTACGAGAAGATCGTGAGGGAGACATGTCGAGGGATCGGCTTCACGTCGGAGGATGTTGGTTTGAACTGCGATACGTGCAAGGTGCTTGTCAATATCGAGGAGCAGAGTCCGGATATTGGCCAAGGCGTGCACGGGATGGGAACGAAGAGGCCAGAGGAGATCGGCGCGGGAGATCAGGGGATCATGTTTGGGTACGCGACTGACGAGACCCCCGAGATGATGCCGTTGACCCACGTGTTGGCCACGAAAATTGGCGCGAAATTGACTGAAGTGAGAAAGAGCGGGAAAGTCAAGTGGCTGCGTCCTGATGGAAAGACGCAGGTAACCGTCGAGTACACCAAGGACAAGAATGGCGCCCTGGAACCAGTGCGCGTTCACACCATCTTGATCTCGACGCAACACGACGAGTCTGTCTCCAACGACCAGATCGCCGCCGATCTGCGTGAGCACGTCATCATGCCCGTCGTTCCCGCCAAGTACCTCGACGCCGACACTATCTTCCACCTTAATCCGTCTGGCAGGTTTGTAATTGGTGGTCCCCACGGAGATGCGGGACTCACCGGAAGAAAAATCATTATTGATACCTACGGTGGATGGGGTGCGCACGGTGGAGGGGCCTTCAGCGGCAAAGATCCGACCAAGGTTGACCGAAGCGGAGCGTACATTGTGCGTCAAGCTGCGAAGAGCGTTGTGGCGGCGGGGCTTGCTCGTCGTTGCCTTGTGCAGGTGTCTTACGCCATCGGTGTTGCCGAACCTCTCTCTGTTTTCGTTGATACTTACGGGACCGGTAAGATTGCAGATGGGGAAATTCTTGAAATCATCAAGGAGAACTTCGATTTCAGACCTGGAATGATCATTCAGGCTCTCGATCTCAAACGTGGAGGGAATATGCGCTTCCAGAAGACGGCGGCGTACGGACATTTTGGTCGCGATGACAAAGACTTCACGTGGGAGACGGTCAAACCGCTCAAGAAGAACGGTCAACTCGTCAATGAGGAGATGATCGAGAATTGCTTAGCTGCGTGAGGATGGCCTGCTTTCATCGATTTTCCAATTCTTTCCTTGGATTCGTTTATTGGTGGGTTTTGATTGATTGTGCGCGTATGTTGGTTTCTTTCTTTGATTGATTGTTTCATTCACTGCGCATAGGTTGGTAGTTTGATCGATCGTCCGTTTGATTTCGTTGATCTATCTATCTGTTCTTGGCTGAAGAAACACCGTCTCGGTGGATTTGTTGGCGGAAATATCTTTTTGTAGAAAATGTAATAATGTGTTTCCACATTATTTGAAAGGGAGTGATGGTGATTCGTAAGCGTTTGTCATCCAATCATTTGTCCATGTTTTGTTTTGAGGTCATCTGAAGGAAGTTATTGGGTTACTCGTACCTCTTTTATCCCGACATTGTTTTGTCTGTTGTGTTATCTCGACCTTCGTCGGCATTTCAGCTCGGTGTCCTGTCGTCGGTCCAAGCTCTATGTGGGTATAAGTATGATTGGAGTTGTGTGTTTCTCGCTACTTAAAAAATACGTCGGCATTTGATTGTCTGTGTAGCTAGGTGCTCTTTTCGTAAGTTCGAGACCCGTGGGGTGGTATGAGAATGATTGGAAAAAGTTATGGGACAGGGAAAAAGAGTGATGGAGATGAATGTATTTACTTGTAATACCAATACATTGTAATACATTTGTGAAAAGAAAGTGAACCGCATGTGATGTGACTTCATACATCGTCGGTTCAAAACCTTGGGGTTGATGCAGCTGTCTGCTCACTTTCCAGTAACTGCATATCCGCCAAGGATAATCAGACTTTCGCTGTTTGCTTTCTCGTTGCTTGCCTGCTTGTTGAGTCTGTTGGTATGACATGGCAAGTGGTACTAATCGTTTTTAGTCTGAAAGGCTACGGTGTTTTGGAAACGCGACCGTGAGAGGATGTCACTTACAGTCGATCCAACCAGAGCGGGAGGGCTCGAGAGAGGTCTGTGCCTGTGGATGTGTGCACGCTAGACGGGCGTCGAGAAGTAGATGAACAGGCAACAAGAACGACGGTCGAGCAAACTGTGTTGGTGTGTCCGTGCTCAACGGGGTTGAGAGAGGTGGTGGATGAAGAGGCTGTGTCCTTGAGTGTGCGTGTCACAAACACCTACACACACACACAGAGAGAGAGAGAGAGAGAGAGAGAGAGAGAGAGAGAGAGAGAGAGAGAGAGAGAGAGAGAGAGAGAGAGAGAGAGAG